CTTCACCGCAACTAATGTGTAGCCCGCGACAATTGAACCGCCAGTGATCATGTGAATTATTCCTCCAATCGGCCCCTCTTCGGGCAGCTGTCTCTGCGGCTACTCGTTCTTCCTGTTGCTGGATTTGGGAGCATCTCTAACTTGCTCTCCCTATCGATCTGTTTGATTTTTATTTTCTTTTAATACAAAGTTTTTGAGATATCCGTAACAAATGAGTTCTTCGATCTCGTCGCGGAGATTTTTACAATTCTCAGTGCTTTGACCGTGATCTCTATGAAAGTGGCAGTATACATTCCTGTTCCTGGTATTCGGATCCCCTCTCATCCGAGGTGACAACTTCACATAAGAAGTGCCCTTGATCGCCATAAGGATCTCTGCTCGCTTCACGTTCAAGGGCATGTAGTTTGTTCTTTCAACAGGAGGAGTTCGGAAAGGCTGATTCGGTTTACTTCCTCCTCTGGTTGGTTCATCCTTCTTCCGCTTATTATTCCCGTTAGTTGAGGTCTCACCTTCTCTCTTCCTCTTTTCTGGTGCACTCTCGCTTTTCTGGTTCATCTCTTCTTCTGTTCCAATGAATTGGTCGGCGAGCTTGAGGAATTCAGTAACATCTTTAGGCTTGTTGGCAACCACGTGCCACTTGAACTCTTTATGGGTGATGCCTCTTTTTGCAGCTGTGAGTCTCACGGCAGGATCTAAGTCGGGGATCTGCAAACATGAATCATTGAACCTCTTGATGTAGCTCCAGATTGATTCTCCCTCCCTCTAGACTATGTCGAGGAGGCTTTCCTAGGACCTCGAGCACCTCTTGCTAGTGATGAAGTGCGAGGTCAAGATCTGCACGAACAGCGCCCAACTCTTAATTGTTCCGGGCACGAGGTTTCTATACCATGTGCGAGCTACTCCTTTAAAGGTTGTGGAGAAAGCAACGTACATGCAGGGTTCATCAGCCCCGGCTAGGTGCATCTGTGATTGAAATGAGTCTACGTGGTCGTTCGGGTCGAACGACCCGTCGTACTTGTCCAGGGGAGGTACCTTAAAGTCTTTGGGCATTGGGACGGCCAGGAGCTCGGGGGATAGAGGAGACAACACGGAAAGGAGCGGGGTGGTCTTCATTGTTCCCGAGCTCGCCTCTTCTTTTCCTTTGGGCTGTTCAGGCTGACTTTGGACTACAGCTCGGTGAGCCTTGCAACGCCGCTTTTGTTGCTTCTTCACTGGCTCCGCATTAGTGCTGCTAGCTTCGGTGTTGTCAGGCACTGTTCTTGTAGGGAGCTGCTCAGACCGCTGGCGGCGGCTACTGTGGACTGAGGGGCCTTGTCTAGAATCCGCAGCCAAAACCCCAAACCAGTTTTCTACGAGCAGAACTTCGAACTGTGTGGGCCGAGGTGATGCGGCTTTGATGGGCTGGGTGTCTCCTGACCTATTCACTTGCTGCGAGGCGGAAGGAGTAACCTGTCTCTCCCTCCTACCGCGGGACGAGACCTGGCTCCCGAGAGGGTTCTGGATTTGGGAGGTCTCTCCCCGGCAAGGAGGGCGTTCACTCTGACGGCAAGGCTTGGCTTGCTGTGTTGCCGGATGCCGAGGTGGAACCGGCTGCTTATTCTGCTGATTCTGCGGTAGTGGGGGAAACTGTTGCTGGTACTGTTGTTGGTAAACATGATGCAGGACTTGCTGCTGGTACAACTAAAACTGTTGGACCTGTTGCATTTGAGCTTGCATAGCTCGCATGCAGTGTACCAGGTCATCAAATTGAGTTTGTCCGACCGTCGGGGGAATGACAGAAGGTTCGGTGAAGGTTACACCCACCGTAAGAGGGAGTAGAGCATTCACCGGTGCAATGACTTAAGGCACATTCAAAGTGGGGATCCTGTCCGCAGAAAGAGGTACGGTGAACTGTCCAATACACACTGTTGGGACCTGAAGTTGCCCCCCGGAGGTGTTCATGTCGGTGTTCTGTCCGGCGTTGCTGGAAGATGCCATTGAAGCTGAATTTAGGATGCTTGGTGGAAAAAGGTTTTTCGAAGCAAATCCCACAAACGACGCCAAATGATGCGACACAATCTGGTTGCTCCTGGCTGGAGATGACTTGGCTTCCAGTAGATGACGGACTTGGCGGATCTGCACAGAGAGAATCAGAGAACCCGGGGGTGCTTACCCAACGAGGTCGCTCCGATGCTTAAGTCAGTAACTTGCAAGTTGAAGGTAATTTAGAAAGCGAGAGAGCTAGTGAGCAATGATTACGTGTACCTTTGCCCCCGAAGGGTTGGGGTCTTTATATACTGAAGTCCTCGTGGGTTTTTCGAAATGGTTCTGGGATTCTTGTCGTGATGAGGCCTGCTACCGTACTAACAGGAGATAACGTCGCCAGCCGATATGGCATATTGCTGTCGTCCGAATCGGTCGGAGGAGATAAGGCCAGCAGTTACGAGGCGTGATCCCGTGAAATGTGGAATTCGGTGACGAGATATTCGGGGTTATCATGTGGAGGTCGGTCAATATTACCCGAACTAATGCCCCCTGGGTCTGACCTGTTACGAACGCCAAGGTGCCTGATAACCGAAGTGATCTTGATGCAATCGTGCCCCGAAGTGAACTTGTCCCGAAGTGGATTTTCTTCCGAAGTGGGCCTGCCCTGAGGTGGTTCAGTTATTTGAGCTCGGTCTATCACAGACTTGAGTACGTCGGGATGAGCTATTGCCCTATCAGTTTGGTCATATCCACATAACCCTCTATTATTAGGTCGGGCCAAATCACCCTACATCAGTTGAATTCATTATTTAGGTGAGATGGTAGAGGTTTTGATACATATAAATTTAAGGTTCCGTTCAGTTTTTCTTAGTCTATTGGCAGGAGTAGATAATTTGTATATTTTAAGACGAAAAGAGATATTCATGGATAATTTGTATATTGATATAAACTTGTTTCTCTATATCAATGAAATGATTATTGTTATTTTAGCTGGTTTTGTTTAAAAAAAGTAGAGGTATTCTTGGATCAATTAGGATTAAGAGAAAAGGACGAAGAAAGACAAATTAAAAAAAAAAAAAGTTTATTTTGATAAGACATGGTATGGGAGAGTTTTGTGGCACGAAACTCATTATTTTAATTCTTGCTAATTCTAAAAATGAATGGGCAAGAATGAATGAGATGTAGGTGTTCGGATAATCTTGTTGCAAGTCTCATTCTTCCCAGAATGAAATTTCAATCTCGGCAAAAAACTTAACCTATTCTAAAAATGATTATTGTTACTAATTCTTTTTTTGTTCGAGTTTGAAACTCGAGTCCTCTCAACTGAAGTCACTGAACCCTTGTCCCCCGCCTCTCTCTCTCGTTAAATCGATTGAAGCTAAGATCTCAATCTGTTGAAGTCCTAAAGATCAATCCAAAGAGCTCAAATCTAAGGTAATCTCTCTATCTCTCTCTTCGTCTTCTTCTTCATCTCCTTTTCAAGCTGAGCATAGAAGATGTATACCTCCTCCTCCCCCTCCTTCTTTTTCTTCTTGACATATTTTGCATCTCGTTGTTTCTTATTTTGAAGGCTGTGTTCACAACAAAATTGTTTTTGTTGAACTGCTATATCAGCAAAATTATATTGTTTTTGCTGATGTAATATTTGTTTTTGTATTCAAAAACGAAATGAACGATGTTGTGCAACACCCCCTAACATATTGTTTTATGGGCTTTGCAGTCAGGGCAAAGCCCATACGAGCAGCCTTTACTGCCTTGCATTAAGAATATTTTTATACTTGTATGCTTTATTTTATTTCATGGAGAGATATTCCCAATGCAAGATTGCAAAATGATGTTAGAACGGTGTGAGCCTGATAGAAGCCCATCTCAAATCAATACCTTTCAACGCCCCTCTTATTACACAAATATCAATTATTTTCTCTTTCCTTTAATACATAAATATCACAATTTGGAAATTCTACAAATGACCTTCTCAAAACTCAATAATGCACAATGTTTTTATACAAAATATGCCTTTTATGCAAAAAAAAATCAAGACCATGTTCGAGGGTTTCTGTTTTCACATTAGAGAAGCTAAAAGTCAGAAAGTTTTGTTGGGGGGGTGGGGGGGGGGTGGTTAAAAATTTGATGGAAAAGTTTGAAATGTTATAAATAAAATAAGGGTAAAATAGAAAAACCTCCTCTGAGATTTCAATTTCACAAAAACCTCCCTTATAGTATTGAAAAAAACCTGCAATTACCTCCCTTATGTTATTGTCTTGGATGGATAACGTTGGTCTAATGCATTAGTTTTTAAAAATACCCATTTTACCCTTATATCTATCAATTCATATGAGAATTTACTAAAATACATCCAAAAGAACTTTTTACTTTTAATTAAAAAATATTTTTCGTTAAAAAGAATAAAGCAATTTTATTCTATAAAAAAGTTAGGTCTATGAAGTCTAAAGGAGAAATCTAGTATTTTGAATTATATTGAAAATGCCCTAATAAGTTGTAAGAATAATTTCGTAAATTTGAAATGTACATTACAAGAACAAAGATGGAAGGGAGATAACCGAAGGTTTTCGTGAAACTAGAGGGGAGGTTGTTATGATTGTAAGAAAATTCAGGCAGAGGACATTTTATTTTATCCAATAAACTATTTAGATTCAAAAACCATTCATCCAAACACTATTTACTTCACATATTCTCAAATAGCTTTTTTTTAATAAGAAAATAACTTTCCAAACCCATTCAAATGAGAAAAATACACACACACAACACTCTAAACACGGCCCAAGGGCCAGGGGCCCAGGATCCATGATCATATTCCAGAAGGTGGAATCTCAGATGTATAAAGTGCGGGTGAGGTGAGAACACGTGAACCCGGTTACCCCGCCCGAATTTTATTCACCGACGTTGGCACTTCTGGCAACTTCTAGAAATGTCCGGTGCGGTCCATTCTGACAACTAGAAACGTGCATGAATCATCATCTCATACGGAGACCATAAGAACTACCGGCCTCCTCAAAGAAAGCCTATAAATTGCCGTCTCTTCTCGTCTGTGTGCAATATCATCGAATACGAAGAGATATATATAAGCTTCTTTCAGTTTTCTTCGGTTCTAAATTCGCTTCCAGCGCCCTTCGTCTCGGTTTGTTCATTCAGATTACACTACTACGTCAAGGTATGCATGATTTTTCTTCTTCTTCTTCTTTTCAACGATTCTTTCTTCTCTCCTGGTGCTTTTTTTCCTTTATCTTTTTCTTGATCTAAAATTCTATTCTAGATTTATTGGCTTTTGTTCATGTTTTTTGTTTAATTGTTTTCCTTTATTTCTTTCTCTTTGGGTTATGTGATTTTCATCCGCTTGGATGTTCTTTTTATTTCGATTCGAGCTGTGTTTGAATACCTAGGGTTTCCGTTTTCTTCTATCATATATTCGTATATGTGATTCTTTATGGTTTTATCGTTTCTATTTATTTCAGGTTTTTTTGTGCAAGACTTATTTCTCTTTTCGCTTTCAGAAGCTTTTGCAATTTACCTGTGTCAACTACTGCAACCTTTTATTTAAGTTCTAAATTTATGAAGATGTTGCAAAGAGAAAATTGATCGTTTTGTTGCCTTTTTTAGTTTTTACACTATGAAAATTTCCTCCTTTGTGGCTTAGGGCTTTTGGTTTTCCTGATTGCACAGCCTTGTTTGTCATAATGGATCTAAATAATAGTCTCTATTTTATGCCCTTCTATGTGCCTGCGCTTAGTTCTATTCTTTGATTTGCCTGTTGTGCTGAAATCTCTTTGCTCCCTGTGGTTACAGATGCAGATTTTTGTTAAGACTCTTACAGGCAAGACCATCACCCTTGAGGTTGAAAGCTCCGACACTATTGACAATGTCAAGGCCAAAATCCAAGACAAGGAAGGAATCCCCCCTGACCAGCAGCGGCTTATCTTTGCTGGTAAACAACTAGAGGATGGCCGAACCTTGGCAGATTACAACATCCAGAAGGAGTCCACCCTCCATCTGGTTCTTCGATTGAGGGGTGGAATGCAAATCTT